AAGAGTTTCCCATAGATTATTCTCGATTTGTCTATATGTTTGTCGTTCGAGAAAAATTGTAGATAGCACACGTGACACGAGTACTTAATCGATGATAAGATATTTTTGTGAATGTTAAATAATTCGATGGTTTTGATAAAATACAGATTCGTGAAAATCAGAAATTTGTAAAAATTAAAATATCTAAGCTATGAATGTGAATGCGTGATTAATCGTATTCTAATCGGAGATTAAAAATAATTTATATGATTGGTCGCTACAATAAAAAAAAAAATAAATAAATAAATCCAGTAAACAGATAAATGAAACAAATAATGAACCGGAGCGAGAAATGTAAGACTAATGTTTTTTAACAAAACTGGAACGTTTACATCCTTGATTTCTGCTTTAACGCGTATAATAAGAAAATTGTAGCGAGACTTTTATTCGAATTAGCACCGTTATTATCGCAATGGAGCGTGTCGAGGAAAGATTTCAATATTCCACTTGGGATTGGAAAGGCGACTGGAACATTTTCGCGAGCTAGTCGAGCGCATTTTATTAGCGTATCTTGAGTCGACGAAGCGGATTTGGCGCACTTTCTCCAATAATCTGATGACAATTGTAAATAAACAGCGTTGGGGATTTAGGATAATAACGCGCGTGTAGGATAATAACAATTAAAGAAAGAGTCCGAATTATTAGCTACTGTGCACGGTTCTTCCCGGATAAATGGAGTTCCACTGTACGTAATAAGCTCCGCTAGAGCTCTCGTCGAAGATCCCCGAAGTACAACTCGCAAGTAGTCGTCGAAGAAACAGAATGGAACGGAGTTGAAAGTGGAAAGGTATTTCGCGGGACGCACGCTGGATGTAATGCAATTAAGCGTCCGGTATTTTTCTTTCACGATGTACCTTCGTGCCGCGAAAACTTACCGGTCGTTCTCCGAAAAAACATGAGATTCATACGCAATTTTATAAAACTTGCTAACCTGCAATCAAATATGCCAACTTTTTATGGACAGTATTTTTTTACTAATAATAATAAATAATAGAATACTTTGTTAATTGTGCTCGAACCACGCTTGTATTAATAAAATCCGTGTCTCTTGCCAGAATAATTATAAATCAATTCATTATCATCGAAACAAACTGAAATAATTTATAAATTAACTATGGAAAAAATGTAATTAATATAAGCTAATGAAGTAATTTAATGTATTTTTTACACGATATAATATAGTAGCAATGTTTTTCTCTATAAATTCTTGGCAAAAACTTTCATAAAAGATTGACGTGCTTATTGACATCGTGAAAAGTGCGAAAATCCAATGTGCTTTGGCAACGTCAAATCATATGACGTTAATACGTCAGCAAATAAATAAATATCTCGCAATCGTTGCGAAACGTTTGTTCTGACCGGAACAAAGCATACCGCTCTTTATAAAAGCGTAAAGTTGAGTACGAATATGATGGCAATAAAAGGCAACGCGATAAAGTCGATGGCGAGAAAAGGGGTTAAAAATGCATCGCCGCGTGCTTCTATTTTCCTTTAAACCGCAACCGATTTTCGCGACTTCCGACATGCGGTGCGTCCCTGCAGCAAAATTCCCGCGCCAGTAAAACTATCGAAACTTAAGCGCCGTCCGCGAGCAATACCACCGCGCTCGTTTGACATACGATTGCGAATCTATTGCGCTCTCGGGGCTTATCTTCGGGGCATGATTTTAGATCGCAATAAATGTTTTCTTCGCGCGAAATGCGAAAATCTCGTCGCGTCACACCTCGACACGTTTCGCCATTTCAATTCACAAATAAATCGGAATAAATATAAAGTAAATATAAATATAAGTAAATATAAAAATGTTGTTATGTGTGGAAGTATACATATATGTGTATGTGTGAATATTTATTGGATAAGTAATATTTGCTAAGAAATTTCGTATTTTTTACATATTTATTAATTATACATACATAATTTGTATTAATAACAAAATTAAAGTATTTAATTTATCCCTAGCAATTTTTAAACAGGCATTTTATATTCTTTACTTGTATTTTGTAATATAATGTAGAAGAAAATGAATATAAAGAAAAAATATTTTATTTATTTTAGAAATGTAATGAAACATACTATCTCGCGCCAAGTACATATATCATTATGTTTTTAATGCTATACGTTATTATGCCATATATAATTATAAAACAAGCTTTGTTATCAGATAAANNNAGGGAAAATTATACCTTTATATTTTTAATCTAACAGTTAAATTAGAATCTTCACATATTCTGCAAATTCATAGAAGTGATTAATTTGAAAGAACTTAGCTAATATTTGTATTGTGCGTTTTTCTGTTACGAGATTATATCACCGATTAAAGTATACAAACTGAAAGGAAGGAGGTCTAATCTGTTTTATGAATCGCCTTTCTCTTCGATACAGTGTATTTGAATAACGCGATCGAATTTCTCATGGTTAAAGTCGCGGAAAATGAAGCGCAAGCCAACGCTATAATATCCGTAAACCTCGAGACATATCTCTCGCATTTTATTTTAGAGAAACTTTCGTGTTTCACGCTACGAACGACGTTGGAACGCCATTTGTTCTTTCCCACAAGTACCGAAACTCACGACGGAGGGTCGAAAAACTACCGGGCCGATCGCCCGCAGTTTACAACAAATAAACCGAGTGATTGTACCATTTTCCGCCACCAAAATATGTTGTCTCGTATATACATTGCTCGCGATTCAACATTACAATGCGCGTATATTTTTTTATTTATTTATCGATTTAATTTCTATTTTTTATCACGTATTTTTCAACATTTCTGGCATTCTCCTCTAATCTTTATAGATTTCTGTTCCGGATTTCTCTGTAAACGAGACGATAGGTTTAAATATATAGTTTAAAAGATGAAATTATATATAAATTCTAAAATAAAATTTTTTATTCTGATTTTTATGGCAAAGACATACAGAAAAAGAACGATAATTCACGGAGCGATCGGCAACGAATCGAGAAAAATAATGTCGGGGAACATACCGCGATTGCAAGCAATTTAAATCGAACACGCGACCGTAAGAATTTTCGATATTCTCGTTTCCAAAATCCAGAACTTTATTTATTACGCAAAAGCCTGGTATGCGTGACAGAGTTTACCATGCGCAGCCGTTCTCTCCTGGCGGAAACGTTTATTTTTGTTGGAAATTCGCGGCACGACGCCCGCGTACGTTCTCGCCGTAGGGTGCAGTATTTTTGTTCTCCCTTCTTTATATATATAGAGATACGTTCAGAGAGAGAGAGAGAGAAAGAGAATGCGGCGGCATTGGAGCGAATTTACCGTGGCTGCGAGTACAGGTACCGTTAAAGGTAGCGTATGCCATTAGACGTACGTAGTAGCAGATGTATCGCGAAACATAGGTACGTACGTATCGCAGCGGCAATAGCAGTCGAGAGTAAATATGGGCCAAAGTAGATACCATTAAATTCAGACGCGATATAACGCGCCGGAGCCGGACGGTTGCTGTTGCTACTGCTGTTGCTGGCCAGAGTCGGAATCGTTCGTCTTAAATTGCCGCCATTAAACGCACGTACGGGCGCGTAAATCCACGCGGTGTCGGCCAAGCCACCACGATTCGATTATTCGTCCTGTAATTCGGCTCACCGCTGTCTTACGTTGATGGGTGTTACGCTACTGCCGCGTGTTTGTTCATTATGTGTTTTGTTGTCCTGACGTTGATCGATCTTTCGCCGCGAGATTGCACGGGCTGTTTGAGAAAGATGCGTGCGTGCGGGCAGCACCGTAATTACGTGAAACGTATATCGTTTAATTAATCTTAAATGAAAATCATAAGAAAGTACAATCAAAGTAGTGTGCATCTCTTGTGATGCGAAATTTATATGTACGATAAATTTTATGAATAATAATGTAATAAAATGGAAATGCTTTTTTATAAAAATGTTGATAAGATAAAAAAATATTTCTAATAGAAAAAAAATTTTTAAATACGCATGTATAATTGTAATTTGAAACGCGCAACTCCGGTTGAAGTTTAAAATAATCTGACGCAATAAGGATGAAATTTAGCAAGAAATTTAATTGAGAGAAATTTAATTATTCTAATTTAAAATTAAAATGTGACTTGTTGGAATTAAGATGAAGATAAATATAAAATAAGACTTTGATTAATTTTTAATGAATGAAAATATTAACCACATAATTTTAATCCGATAAGCTATTTAATTATAAAGATTAAGATTCTTTCTAATTCCATTTTATAAGGAAAATCTCGAGAAATTATGTTTCCTTAAGATATTTCTTTAAGAAAGATCGATACGTCGAGATAAATTCTGTTCCAAATTGTTCCAAAAGTTTTAGCTTGCAAAAAGAGAGCACTAAAGTTTTTCATGATTCGATATATTCGTAAGCGTCGTTTCATTATCGTGAACGACCATTCTCTATGTTATGAAAGATTGATGGAAGAAGAGAAATGAGAACCAAGACAGAGATTACCGGTTAGGTACTTTTACGTCTCTCTTTTATTTAACGGCAAAGTCTTGATCGCGATCCGACTACCATCAATCTTAAATGATTCATCAGCTGATTCGATTAAATCTATCTTTTTCCTCGTTCGATTCGGTAAGTTCTTATTTTTCTTATCAAAGTCAAACTTTTTGTTGCTGAGATTTGATGAAGCGCATCTCGTGATTAATAATGAAATTAAATAAATAAGTATTAAATCAAAATACGAAAGTTAAAAATTATTTTACAACTCTATATAATTAATATCATTTATAATAAATATTTTAATTCTTTTATTAAATTTCTAAAACATGTTGAACTTTGTTAATTGTTAATTCTTTTTTTTTCATAGCACTGTCTATATTTTAAATCCATAAATTTTATTTTGAAATCTTCATCTCTCTCTAAGATATATCGTAAAGTTATAAGTAGAAAAAAGCTTTCTTTCTTTTCCGCAAAACAATCCGACTAACTAGTAGCATTTTGTTTTGTGCTTCAGAGAACCAAACTGCAAGTTAAGGTCTCTGAACGTGTCCAAGTGTCTTCTAGGCGGCTTGGATGCTGGCTGTTTAGGCGAAACCATTAGAAGGGCCCGTAATTTGGATGCTCTGAGGGCCGCCGGTGCGTCGAGACCAGCTGACGTGATGCCTTTGGTATTAGCCTTGACAGAAGCGCCGTGTCTCCAGTTACTGGATTTGTCCAGTCCTCGACTGGCTCTGGACGATCATCCCTCGAGACTATTGTGCCACGCTCTGGCTAGAAACACGACTCTGAAGCTGCTCAGTTTAGAAGGATGGACCTTTCGAATAGAGGTAAGTGAAATATTTGATTATATCCGGAAGAATTTTCGTATAGCTTCGTGCGTCAATTTAATAATTGTATTCATTATGCTTATAATTTATTGCGATACATTTAATTTAAAAAAGTAGCGATATCTCTGAGATAAGACTTGATCAAATTTCATATTTTAAACGAGCTCTTTCAGTATCATTTTTGATAATAAATAAGAATTTATTTGTTAACAATTAAACATCTTATATTTCGCGGAAAAAAAATTTGACGAAAGAGATCCGTTATTATATCCTAAGGAGAATAAGTTTGTACAAAGTAAGTGACCGGACCAGTTTAGTCGTAACATTATTTAGTTTCGTATCTTTGGAAGGAAACACAATTCGCGAAGACGGAATCGCGGGGAAATAAGGACAAACTAAAAGAAACGGATATTATTTTTTTTTTTTGTGCCGACGTGCAATCCGGAAAAGTACGGAACAGTAATGTTCCGTCGCACCTTCCTGCAACCGCAGAAACTCAATGATACAACCGACCACGATGAAGGAACTTAATTCTCAACTAGTAGTCGCGATAATAATGCATGAAAAGTTTTCGTTCGCGGGCTATATTATTAAAGATTTTTTTTTCAGGGAGTAGTAAGTTAAAACAAACACAATAATACCGAGGCGTTAACAATAAATAATCTCTTTCTTAAAAAGATCAATGTAAAAATGATGTATTTTTTTAAGATTAAAGGGGTGATTTAAATATTAAATATTTAGATACGTTATTTAAATATTGATATAAATTTACGCTAGAATTCACGAGTCTATTTTGAAATTAAAATTGTATGACACTTCCACTCCAGCCGGAACTCATTGGCTAGTGATAAATCATCCATTAGTATTAACATCAATACGACTGTAATTAATATTAATTAATTATTGTATTTTCTCTCGCTTACTGCACTCATCAGCCATTTCGTCGGGCGACACAAAATTGAACTGCATTTAAATTGATGTAATTGATGTGTTATTCAGCGATGTCCAGTGCCCTCCGTTCCAGTCAACAATAACAAACGGCGATATTTACGAGCCATTAGTCGATAATCGGCTGTAAAACAAAACATACTGAGTACTACGCGATGTTTCGGTGCGTCTGACGCTTCGATTTTTGCGTCGAATAAACATCTCTTGCGAACAACGCGCTCTTTTCACCCTACTTCCCTCCCCCCCCACCCCTTGCAATAACGATAATAATTAATATACCCCCAAAGTTGGGGCGCGCAAGATGAGGAGCGATTAAATAATTCCAGATTAACACGAACGTAGAACGTCGACCATGTTTCCAATGATGTAACAACGTGGCGTTCACCGTTAATCGTTTCACCACGAATTTCCGCCAAGCTCTCGCCTCACACTCTCGCTCGATACATAATATCGGCTTTCACACACAAACCTAACGAGAATCTCGAGTCGCACTTTGATTTAAATGCTTATATAGTCCTCGCAATCACGAATTATTTTAGAAGCATGAATTTTAAAAGAACTTTACATTTATTTAATTGTGTGATTTTCTTCTTTATTTAATATTTATTTATTTATACATATTTTGTCCAATAATTATATATTAATAATTATATATAGACTAGAACAATTTACACAGTTTTGTCTAAAGAGGCTAATTTTTTACTACACATATAGAAAGCTATTATATAAATATTTTAAACAGATACTTTACACTAGTAATTATATGTATTATTAATTTAGTTTTTGTTTTTTAATATATTAGATATAAACACAAACTAGTTTTTTTAATCTATTACAATTTATTAGAAGTATATTTCGTCAAAGTATCTAAGAAATGAGTTTTCTTCTGCTATAGAGTTACGACTAACAATAAATAAGTATTTCGCGGAATCTATAAAGGGAGATGTAAGAGGGAATCGTTCGCATCGTGAAGCAATATCGTCTCGATACAAAGCTCTTCAGTTAGACTCGCGAGTCAATATTGTTTCCATTTCGTTAAGCTTTGAAACGCCGGGAAGCCGAATGAGAGAGGTCGGTTCCGCGGTATGCGTTTGGAATCTGCAAAGCTGCACCCTTGGGGTGTACTTTCGAGTTTTCGAAGAAGTTATTGAACGCTTCGGGAGATCGACGAAAGGAACCGAGAGAAGGATGGCCTTTGGTCTGCCAATAGTAATTTCGTAGTTCGTAGCAAAAGGAATCGATTAGAACTCCGCGGTTTTCCATCGAATGTCCGATGCTGTCTGTCTTTTCAAATCAGACTCCTTAAGTTATATTTAGGCATCTTGTTGTAAAATATTCTAAACGACATCTCAAAATATTATTTTATGATTAATAAACAATTATTTAATAATTTTTTAATATACAGAATATTTTGAGCATGATTGTTACATAAAAGAAAGAGTTATACACATTTTTTTTTTCACACACACACATTTTAAAGTTTAAGATATTCATGTTTAAAAATGTAAACAATTGGTAAAATATCTCGAATGGTTAAAAAAATATATATTCCTATTTTTTAGTTATTTAATTTTGACAAGAAAAGAACTCGCGGTATCCGGGGAAAATAATTTTCCTTCCGCGAAAAATTCAATTTAACGAACTTGTAACAACATTTAACGTGCAGGACCTCGTCGCACGTTTGTCGCATATTTATTTACCCGGTGAATATTGTTTGTGAACCGCAAGCTTCCGGTAAACTTCCGGTTGCAATTAAAGACTTTCAAAGTATGCTAACGAGCGCGGTTGCTTCTGTCCGTTGTGCGACGCGACAAACTCGTGCGTTTAATCGCTCGACATTTAATCGCATTCATAATGAAATTCTGAAGCGTATATTTGAAACCGCCTTTCTAGAACGACTAAGGACATTGAAAATGCGGGAATGAAATAGAAAATCTAACATTTTTAGAGATGGCAGTTTTATTAATTAAGAGAAACTCTTTCTAAAATCCCATGCACACATGAATGTAAAAAATGTTAAATATTTTGAATTAGATTTAAATTATAATCTTTATCAAAAACAGAGAGAAAAGATCAATCTTCTTCTTTATTAAAAAAATGTGTTATTATCATTTTTCATTTGTGAAATAATTGTGACTCGAGGGCTAAATTTGAACACGAGATGAAATACAAATACGTAAATAACAACAGGCACCACTTCGCATCTCGAATTATATACAGTAGCCTTTTTAATCGCTGCTATTATCCGTCTCTCTCTGTCCTTCGCCGCATTCCTATCGGAATTTCTAGCGACGAGCCATTATCTCGCCACGATACGACTAGCGAGCGATAGGGAAGATCTTGCCTGTAAACAGCTGAAATTAGGACCGAAGGGAAGGAAAGACGAAAGAAGAAGAACGTGGCCGCGAATAATCCCAACAGTCACACGCTCTGCGAGCGGATAATTAATTATCGGCGATTCCACTTTGCGCTAAGAGAAGCGTAAAGGAAGGGTGGTCGCAGGGTGCGCGAGGGGTGGTCTCCGGAAGATGGCTCGAGTATTGTTTAGACGCTCACTAATTACGGAGCAGTCGGCTAGAGAGCTCGACGCACCGAACGGAAGCGGCACTGGAGATACCTTCAATTTATTTTGCTCTTACGCGGTCCGGACCCCATTGTCTCAACTCGTTTATTAATGGCGAAACTACTCCGTGGTCTGTTCGTAAGGATGGATCTTTAAGTGTGCGTTTTTAACACCAAGAGAATTGAAATTCATTTTTGTAACACCTATAAATATCCTAAAGTTTCAGAGAAATCTATTATTTGTAGATTTGATTTGTTTTTTGTATAAATCCTAATTCGAATTTTATTTTGATATTTTTATTTAATCTTATGTTTGTTTCTCTCTGATTTTACATATTTAAATTAGTTTGATATCTTTCGAAAATCGATTCGACAATTTCCTCGAAATAACTGTACTTAACGATAAGGAAAAAAATAATCGCACAATTCATATCGACGGTACACACTCAGGATTTATCCTGGAACTCTTTTTGTGGGGAGATACAAGATATAAACTCTCTCTGCTTCTCGAAGAGATTATTCAAATCTGAGGATGAAAATGCGAAGACACAATTCTCCCGCGGGATTTTTTATAACCCTCCTGAATATCGCTTTGTGATAACCGATTGTTCCGTCGATGGCGGCAATTTTTTCGCTCATCCAGATTTAATAGCAGCAGGATTATCGCGAAAATGACGAGTTTTCTATTCACGCACGATTTACTCAAAATATCCAGTCAGTATATGCATAGCTTTATGCCTTTTCAAAATAGGTATGTGACGTGAACTTCGGAAAACTATTTGATTTTATTTCGATAAAGAAATCTTTAAGCAATTCTCAAGGAATATATTTTTGTTTTAACTAAAATATTTCAAAACATTAATAATTTCTAAATTATTGATGAAAAAGTTTTTAAGATTTTAGGCGCAATTAAAAATAACAATATAAATTATTTCTTTCATTATTTACAAAAAAAAAAAGAGTAAGCTTTTTCTCGGAATTTTAATTAGAGGCTCAATTGTCAAAATATTTGATATTAATGTTGAATATTAAAAACTGTCTTTATCGAAGAATATACGCCATTGAGATTTAAGATCGCGATGCTTTGTATATAATTATTTAAATACAGCGTTAAGTGCAACTTGTAATAATTTACCAATATAATTTATCATTTATAATAATTTATCAGTCACATATCTTTCATTCATTGCAGCTTGCATTCGCGATCTAATCATTATTACGCGTGACCATTTCATATAACTCGAGATAACGCTCAGATTTTAATAAACGCCGTCCTTCGCACTTCTCACAGTTATTCTCAGCCGATTCTTATCCCACGGATTGTCGCTTCCGGGATTAGATGTTATTCAAGTGCGCCATTTCATTTTCTGTCGTAACGTATTGCTTGCATTGTTCATAGCACTTCGTTAATTTTCTACTTTGCTTTTACGACCCGATTCCTACTTTTCTTTCTTGCTAGATGAAACAGAAACTTTAACTAGAACCGTGTC